ATAATACTATAAATATTATTTTTTCTAAATAAGTAAACTCAGGTCAATATATATATTAAACGAACTATAGTTAGGTGTAATAAATAATATTTATTATTCACAAATTATAATTTTCTGATGATAAGTTTCAACGGTATGTTTCGACTATACTTAGTTCTCATCAGCCGCAGAAATGCATAATTATTCCATATATCTATAGATCTATGGATATATGGGGTAATTATTTCTGCGGCTGATGAGAACTAAGTATAGTCGAAACATACTGTTGAAATTATTACCGTCGGAAAATTATAATTGAATAATAAATATTATTTGTTACACTTAACTCATTTAATGTATTGATCTGGATTTATTATTTATTAATTTTGTTGTAAGTTAATCAAGCGAAAAGAATTGATATTATTTTATGTTGTAATATTATTTTTTCTAATAAAATAATGAGTTGGTAAAGTAAAATAAAATTTATTTATAGTTAAACATTTTTATATAATAATATCACATTTGTGCAATCTCAACTTTTGAGTTATCCTTTCTTACTGCAATTATTAAATCGACTTTAACATGTAACGAGAGTCTTAGGTCATATTAAAAGGCCGTATAGTTATATTTATAGATCAATATTATATTATAAAATTATATATAATATTATGTATGTGCAATTTTTTATACATTTCTCTGAATTTAATTTCTTCTAAACCAATAATGCGAAAATTATCCTTTTAATTATTTTTTATGTTTTCTCATTTTGATATTTTCTTATTGCTTGTTTTCTGTTGTCTGTGCTTCTCATTGCTATTTTCTGCCGTTAGAGCAGATGTTTACATGATGCTATCCAGATTCTAGATGTAGACCGTCAAGACAAGATCATACTATCACACGACTATTATAGTCACGACATGCAATTTTAGGTCTTGAATACTTTATTGGCATTTTACAAGCACAATGTAGTATACTCGTTGCCAGCTAAACATCATAAGTATGACACATGCACTGCACGTGCATGCATTATACTGACATCATGCAAATATTTTGCTATTGGATATATCTTGGATTTATAATAATAATAATAATATCGGTTTTTAATAATATCTCGTCGGTGTTTATTACTCACACTCGGTGTATTCTTCCTTTAAAAAGCTAGTGGCACACGATGCTTGTTTTCAATATAAATATATTGGTGGCAGAATTTAATCCAACTATCAAATCAGCAAGAAAACAAGCATCGTGTACCATCGGCTTTAGCTCTTTTGAAAAAAACCGATGCGCAGCGATACAGGCAGATTTCGTACAGGAATGTAGCGAGATGCAACGTAACGTAAGCGAAGATGCACGCACTCGCGCAAGCGCTCGCCGCTCCACACGACCGAACGTCAGCTCACTTCACGTCGTTCGAATTTGACATTTTGACCGTCAGCCGCGTACTTCAGTCGGAACCGAGCGCGTAACCCAAGTTTTGTGGTATTCGTCACGACGCGTGAAGTGTGTTACTACTTGCGGCTGCGTCGTTCGATTATCGGCCGAATAAATAGCGATTCGTCGTGTTACGTGTACATCACAGCTGCTAACTAGGGCACGACGAGTAAAGAAGCCCGTGTGTGATACGAGGTAAATACACATCCGCATCGCAATATTCGGGAAACGGCGATTATCGATTGCAAGACTATTTCCAGAAAGGACGACGGATGACGCATCGACTTGATATATTTACCTATCCACTTCATGCGACTCTCGTGTTCTTTTCGGCCTCGTGCTCAGCGAGTTCGCGCGAGCCTTCTCTTATTTGCGACGTTGCATATGGTCGAGAAGGAAACATCGACCTATAACCGGGCATTATAATCATGATTATACCACGGCTTGATAATGACGACCTTGCCGTTGTAAGAAATCGATTTGGATGGACGGCTGGATAGCGCCGCGCGTCATAGATTCGAAACGTTTGAATCTTCCGATTCCTCGATAGTCATTTTTATTCAATAATCGTCATGTCTACCTTATTGGATATTGGCGATGTGAATGTATCGCGCTGTGACAATTATATATATTATATATATATGTGTATGTATGTACTTAACTCTCGCGACTCACTTTCCACGAATATATATTACTTATCTGTTTGTGCGCGCGCGCACGTAGGCGTAAATTTTTTCAGGAAACTAAATAAATCATTATTTAAAGATATGATTACATGACAAGAGATAAGTATCGCGTGTTATCGCGCAACAGTATTACTTTACTCCTAATTGTAGTGACGAAGAAAGAAAAGTTACGCCCTATTAACGTATTTGGTAATTTATACATTTTATTTCGCTTCGCGATTAATATTGCGTTTTCGTGAGTAACTGTGTGACAACTTTGCACACATCATCGTGTCGTAAACATTAATAAGCTCTTGGGTCCGATTAATAATGAATTCTATCTTTCACGTTACACTCAGTACATATTAAAGGCTGCTTTATATAAAATAAGATCCAATACATCAACATTATTTTAGTTTTAAACGAGACTTGAACATGTATCTGTCACTATCTTTTTAAATAAAGATAAACACATATTTAAGACAAATACTCGCTTAAAGTCAAAATAACGTTGGTGCAATCAGCTAAATGTAATGGTAAGATATAATTAACTCTAATAATGAAATAATATATGTGTATTCTATTAAATAATGTAACAGTGTCATTTTTGAGTATTTAAAATATTCTCATGTTTTTATATACCTAACTTTAATCAATTTCTTGTATAACAGCTTTTAATATACACTAATCTAATATAATGGAAGTAACTGAATTCGCTATAATCTCGATATAATTTATTTTTACTCTTATCTTTTTCTAATTCTAAGTATTAGAAAACATAAGCAATTAAACCGAGATTAAAGTTAATCTTAGATTTCTTTTTAATTAAACATCTTGTACGAACTTCTTGCATGAACTTCTTTATATTTTCTCTTTTTTCTTTTCAAAAAAAGAGAAAAGATGAACTGATGCAAGAAGTTCAACTAAAAAGAGCAGACCTGCTAAAGCATGTTTGGATTCCCATCTGAGTGCTTCTCGGATATCATGTCCTTATTGTATTTACTGTTAAATAAGAATGACATGATATTCGAAGAGCACCCAGGTAAGAATCAGAATTCGTAGAAGACTTTGCTTACTACGAAGTGCAACGTTCAAAGCGATAAATATTACTTATCAAGTTTTGTGTCGTGTGTATAAATCCTTTTTCTTTTATAAACAGATAATATGATATGACAATAAGTATGTTAATATTCATATACATTAACTAACTATGCATATAATTGGGATAATTTATTTAATGTACCTTCGTATTCACTTACTAATATATTACTCTGCAGTCCAGTGCAAGACATAACATGCTTAAAATACATTAGCTAATTTTTCTTGTTTAACTAACGATTGTTAATAATTATGAGTTAATAGAATTCACATCATATATCATTCTTTATCTCTCTTCTCTCTCGGTAAGAGAAGGTATAAAATTAATTATTTGAAGATATTATTATATAATATATAAATAAAACTGCAAGCTAACAACTAATCTAGATTTATCACCATGAAATGAAATTCATTATGTATGAGTCACAAGTTTTACATTTAGTATTACAGTTTTTTAGGTGTTTGTCCATGGCTCTTTAAGCAAAAGTTTGGAACATTTTGCTTTTATATTTTTTTATTCTAAGAGCACTTTATAATAAAAGAACAAAGAAGATAATTAATAAATTTGTACGATACAAGATTTAAGTATGTGTGCGAATTCTAATGACAGTCAGAAATGACTGTATAAGATTAACTTTTAATGAAATTGTAATATTTATTATTTTTGTTATTTTTATAGTAGTGATTTATTTATATCTATTTTAATAAATGATAGTTTAATACAAAATATATAATGTTGACGTAACAAGTACAAGATAAATTTATTTCAATAATTCTATATACATTTTATGTACATTTTTAAGGTTGCCGATACACATTTGTTCGGAGTTCTGATATTGTTTTTTTCCTCAAAGGAGGCCTAGTTATAATAACAGGTTCTTTTTCAGCTAAAACAAAACCAAAAGATGACGACTTGGCAAACACCTGGTGCGGGATTCTATGCAGGGCAACAAGGTTCTGATCTTTTTCCTTCTGTTTTCTAATATATTTTTTATTACCATATTTCATTATTTTAACTGTATTAATTCAGGGTACATATCAAAGATCATTCAATCAGCGGTTAGATAATAATCACTTGCTTGGAAAGGATATATCATGCCACACATTTGAAAGCACACCATTAATATAATGATTATTTTTAGTCGATACTTGAGAATAAAGAAAATTGTTAATAAATCTTGCAGTAACATGTTAAAATACTTATCATCAATGTAATCTATAATTAATACATATACTCATGTCATAATACATTGCAGCAGATTGTGCAAGCATAGTTAATGTCTTCAAGAAGCCAATAGCACACACAATCATGAAAACATAATTTTACAAAACGTAAAACATGCACAATATATATAAAAGTAATGGCTGCTGTTACGGCACACAATTCCTCAAGTTGTTACTGCTTATCGCGGTTACATGCACTGTATTGTAACGTCGATATTTATATTTCTGAATTTTGACTGTGCAGGTCCGTATCCGTATCCTCAAAATCCAGGATATCCGCCACCACAAGAAGGCTATCCATATCCTCACAATCCAGGATATCCACCACCTTATTCCGGTGGAAATCCACCAGGTAAATACAATTCAAGAATATTATTCAACTACCTTAAATTGTCACAGTTATATATTTATTTTGTTCATGATCATTACTATTTTTTATAGGTCCAGGATTTATACCTCCACCAGGTGTTCCACCATACGGTGAAGCGCCACCGCCAGTTGGTCCAGAATTTGGAGGAGTACCTCCACCAGGTCATCCAGGAATGTCGTACGGGTCTGGGTATGGAGAAGATCCTATGCAGGATGAAGTCAAAGGGTTTGAGTTCAGTGATAAAACGATCAGAAATGGCTTCATTAGGTAAATGTCAGATCATTAATATTTAATATTCCCAAAATATATGATGAGCATATAATTGTATTTTTTTTACAGGAAAGTGTATAGCATCTTGATGTGTCAGTTGCTTATCACACTTGGGATGATTACTTTGTTGCTTTATCATAAACCGACACAGTTATGGGTTAAGAGTCACACAGAATTGTTCTGGATTGCTTTTGCCTTAACTTTTGTCCTGCTCATATGTATGGCTTGCTGTAGCAATGTGAGACGTAAAGCTCCGATGAACTTCATATTTTTGTTCCTATTTACATTTGCGGAGGCTTTCCTATTGTCCGTGGCTGCATCAACATACGAGTCTCAAGAAGTAAGTTACCCGAAAAGATTTTATAATTTTAAATACTATATATATGCAAAGAACTATGTTATTATTAAGTTATAACATGTAACAAATGGTGACATATCTACATAGAGATATTTTTTGCAGGTCATGCTGGCCGTTGGAATTACAGCGGCGGTGTGTCTAGGATTGACAATATTCGCATTTCAGACAAAAATCGATTTTACCGGATTACACAGTATCTTGTTTGTTGCTGTGCTTATTTTATTTATTTTTGGTTTAATTGCAATAATCTGGCACGGAAAAGTTATGACTTTGGTTTATGCCTCGCTCGGCGCGTTTATATTTTCTATATATCTGATTTATGATACGCAAATGATGATCGGCGGAAAGCATAAATATTCTATTTCACCAGAGGAGTATATCTTTGCCGCGTTGAGTCTGTATCTGGATGTCGTCAACATCTTCCTGTATATTTTAACTATTATTGGCGCTTCGCGAGATTAATTGATGTCAATATCAATTATGATATTTTGACTTGTGTTACACTTACTAAGGAAACACTTACTAAGGAATACATACATAAAGTCAGTTTTTACTTACCGCCATCCTGCTTTGGCTCTCTACAGTATTGTTCTGAGCGCACTGCAGGCGAAGAAACAATGAAGTATGAAGAAGCATAATATTGGCAAGACTTTAATTTCTATGAAGATAGCTTTTACAAATTTTCAAAGATTAATATATCTACACAAATAGCACGCTTGAAATCTTTTATCTAGTTTCATAATGCATAAAGTATTTCCCACAAGTTTGGGGAGAAAACCAAATATAAGTTCTTGTAATTGTTAATGTATAGAATAGTACATCATTATTATTATTGTCATAAAACTCAATGTTTATTTTTTGTCTCATTTTGAGTATTATAAAAGCAGTGATTATATGAGTTTACATACTTTATTTTTTTTATTTCTTTAAAGACTTAAATTTTTCCAATGTCAATGAGTATATATGTCTAATTATAAGTGCGTAAACTAATTATTGATATATAATTGTTATAAATATATGTCATAGTGTGATAAAAATCGAACCATAATTATAGTATATTATCTGGACTTAACTATAATTCCAGGCAACTTTGAGAAATGTGGAGATGCTAATACCTTGTTGCCTATATATACATACATATACATATATAAAAAGTTGAGATTGTGTTTATTTTTTGTTCAAATTTGAATAATAAAACATACAATTTACTTCTCTGGTATTTATGATTTTCTTTCGATTCCAAATAGCAGTGCATAGTATATTGCAATGTATATATGTATACACAGTAGTGATGCAATTCTTTTTTTCGACAAACACGTTAATACTATTCGCGATAAGACAATATATCCATAATGTTATGTAAAATAATAACAATTCTGTATAATAATAATAATTCTGATATGAGAGAAATAATTAGATGAAGTAATTTAACAGCATCTCTAAACAAATTA